ATCACTAGTTTAATTTCTCTTCCGTTCCGACTTCTAGTTCTATCTATCGACCCGGAAAACTGTTCTAAAGACCAAAACGGCCGGTCATACACACCGCGGATATCAGAGCGAGGGCCCCATCCGGCGCTAATATTCCCCGCAGCATCGTCATCCATCAAATCTTTCAACAAGATCCATGGTAACAAAACTGAGAGGGCGAAGGCTTTGGAAGTACTAAGGGCTTTGGAAACAAAACAGGCGCGAGTTGGAATTGGAGTGAACAAAGGTGGATGCACTCTTTTTAATTACAAGAGACTACCGACAGTTGTGGCTTTTGAGAACGTTCGAAGGATAATACCCGCGGAAAAGAAATAACTCTGTGAATACAACCCCAAGCGGACATCGGCATCGCCGGGCCGACGTATGTACCGTGAATATTTATGTAATGCAATAAGCGATGGCGCAAAAGGGGATTTTGGTTTTGCCTGATTTTATTTTTGCCAGGCTTTGCGATTCGTTTTTACATGATACAGATACCAGGCTTAGGCTTCAATTGCTTCCAATTTGAAGGCTGGCTTTTCGGGCCAGGCATGATGTCTATCTTAGATTTGAAAGCATTTTCCTACTACGGTCAGACCCCTTTAACATTTAGTGGTCTTTGCTTGACGGCCGATGTTCTATCGTAGCGTGAAAACCACCCTGCCTTCCTCCGTGTCCTGCACGAGCTTTGAACCGCCGCTAATACAACCCTTTCTCAAATTCACTCTGCATGTCACCCTCCTCCGGCGTTAAGAGGCCTCACATCCCGTTGTGAGACTCAGGTTATCGTTCCTCGCGTTCCAGGCGTAGCCACGTCAGCAATTCTCCGTCTTCGCTGTCGTTGGTGTTGTGTTCAGGGTCGACTGGGCTTTGTCGGGGCCCTTTGTCAACGATGAGGGTGTGACCACTGTGTCTTGATTGTTCTCTTGCGAGTTCACTTCTAGGAAGTGGTAGAGAACGATGAGGAGCATCGCGCAGGAGCCCAAGAAAATGGCGAGCTTGTAGAGCTCAGTGTCGGTAATCATTTTCGCTCGGTGGGGGATGGGAGGTTTTGATATATAAATTGAGAGGTTACGTAGGTCGGATCAACGGTGTAGGACTCTGTAGGGACGGTGCCTGCGACAGCCGCCGCAGGTCAGCAGAAGGAATATGACAGAGCTCGACGGAATTGGGGGTGCTTACTCTATGTTCGCGTCAAATCCGGCGGGGGTTTCAGAAAACAGGCATCTGCTCAATTCCTATGGTGGATTGGCCCGGGCAAAACGATTCCCACAGCTCGTCGTCGATAACTATTGCCTGCATCTTCTCCCGGAGCACGGATCTGGCACAGCTGGCCGCTTCGCCCTCCCACACCGGCCTCTTACGCACACGACCAAACACTAACGCCACCTTACAAAGTTTAATTTTCCCCGCCAATCTCGAGCCACAGGCGACCGCCAAAGCCACTGCTCTCACACTTCAACCCTCAACAGCACAATAAACACCCCGTCATAACGGGCAAAGATTCCAGCAGCTTTGCATTGCTCATATTACCAGGCCTTTAACAACTGAGCCGTGGTTGCCGGAATTCATCGTAACACCGCCAAGATGCCGCCCAAGAAGGCTGAACAGCCAAAGAAGAAGAAGCAGACGGTGGAGGACAAAGTAGGTTCATTTTCGATCATTCAATATCTACCTCACCACCCGCCCAGTACACAGCGAAAACAAGAGCTAACTTCGCAACTAATCCAGACGTTTGGTATGAAAAATGTGAGTACAGAGTCTCTTCCGCGTACGGCGGTCACTGGATAAGAAATGGCAATGTCGACTGTTTCAAGCCATGTGGATGGCTTTTTCCGCATCGGCCAAAGTCCGGAGGCATAAGAGCATGAGCACCCATTTCTTTCCTCTACCTTCCTGAGCAGCATTTGCTAAACTAACTTTTTTTCTTTGCTGGGAAATAGAAAAAAGGAGCGACGGCGAAGAAACAAATAGCCCAACTCCAGGCACAAGCGCAATCAAACAAGAGTGCAGATCAGAAGAGAAAGGACGCCGAGAAGGCGAGACGAGAGAAGGAGAAGGCTGCCGCTGAGCAAGCCAAGAAGGAGGCAGCTGAACTCTTCAAACCAGTCCAGGTGCAAAAGGTGCCTTTCGGAGTCGACCCCAAGACAGTCTTATGCATATTTTTCAAGAAAGGCACATGCGAGAAGGGCAAGAAGTGCAAATTTAGCCATGATCCTGCGGTTGAGCGGAAGGCGGAGAAGAGGGATCTATATTCAGATTCTAGAGACGCCGAAAATGACAAGCAAAATGATACCATGGACAGCTGGGATGAGGATAAGCTACGAAAAGTGGTCTTGAGCAAGCATGGAAATCCGAGAACGACCACCGACAAGGTCTGTAAATACTTCATCGAGGCCGTGGAAAATCAGAAATATGGCTGGTTCTGGACGTGTCCGAATGGAGGAGATAAATGCATGTACAAACACAGCCTTCCACCAGGGTTAGTCTCTCCCCCCCTCCCCGAATTCCCAAACAACTTACCCTCGCCTCATGATCTAACACGCCGGAAAACAGCTTTGTATTAAAAACCAAAGAACAAAAGGCCGCCGAAAAAGCCCTCCTCGATAAATCGCCTCTCAAGACGCTCACTCTGGAAGAATTCCTCGAGTCCGAACGTCATAAGCTTACAGGCAATCTTACGCCCGTCACGGAAGAGTCATTCGCGAAATGGAAACGAGAGCGTCTCGATAAGAAAGCTGCAGAGGAAGAAGCCCGTAAAGCTAAAGAAGCCACAGGTCGTGCCTTATTCGAAAGTGGGAACTGGAAGGATTCAGAAGATGAGGATAGCGAAGAGGATAGCGATGACGAGGATCAGGGTGCCTGGAACTTGGAGGCTATGCGGAAAGAGACAGAGGATTTGCGTGATAGATCGGAGCAAGACCGCCTCGCAAAGCTCAAAGGCGAGAGCCTTAGCAATGGAATCGATCCGGGCTCAACGTCCGTGGCGGGCGCAGGATAATACGAGCGGCCTCGAAAAGGGCTGCAGCTTGGTTATTTTCCGATTTCTATATACCATGAATATGAGATCAACGACTTGGCAGGCTTTCCTCCATCCCTTTTTTTTTTTTTTTTTTGCTTCCTTTTGATCAAGCTTTCGAGTTGATGGGAGGGCATTTCACGTATATTAGCCGCTGTCAACCCTTTTGGCTCAAATCTACTTCGGCTTTATTCTCGACTTCGGACGTGGTCATATGGAGCATAGCCCAATCCCTTCACTACCCGAAAAGAAATTCTGTGCAATTTCATGTGGAGATGTGAATCCAAATATATGCTGCCCAACGGGGTCTATTGGCCGGGGATGTATCACACAATCACTCTTTAGTCTCTGGCTTGTTCTACTGGTTGATTGGGCTGCCTACGGCTTGGGAAAATGGTTGATTGATGCAAGAAGATAAAGCACATATTTTCTTTAAGACGCCGTGCTATCACCACAAACACAAAGAGACATATTAGAAGTAAAATTTCTTATCGCATGGAAGTGTTTTGATTGTTCTCATGGAAAGGACTTTGGAGGGTCATCTGCTGCGTTCGGACTAAGCATCATATGCGTAATTTATGTCAAATCAACAATAGCCGTTGTCGTTGAGTCATGCCTTCGTTTTATATCCTCTACCGCTTTATGCTGCCATGCGGGACAGAACGGATTGTAGCAAAAAGGTTCGGCCGTTTTGATCTCACTTTCGAACACAGCGTCGCAAGGAATAAATGACTTAGGATACCTCCTCAATCTTTGGTTTGGAGGATTCTGGAGCGTCGTCTTCCAATGCAGGCATCTCGTCGTCGTCGTCCTATAAGTCGACAGTTGTTAGAGTCAACCGTCACCGGCAATGCCTGGCTGAATACATACGGATTGCGCCTCTTCGGCAACATCTCCTTCTAGCTCAGAGAGGTCGCCGCCGCCCAGTTTGGAGAAGTCGATGCCACCGAGCCCGCCTGCCATATTTGAAAAGTCGTCTTCCTTGGCTTCCTCTTGCTCGTCTTCATCGACCCACTGTAAAGATAGACGCGGGTTAGGAAAAAGTCTCAAGACCAAATCAAGTCGCTAGCGTGACCTTGATTCATACCTTGTCGAAATCGGTTTTAACAAAGTGCACTTTCTTGCTTTCTTTTAGCAGGCGTGGCCAGAATTCCTGCTTCACCTCCTTCTTTCGAAGCACCAAATCGACTCCACGAGCTGAATGATGCCGCTTTGAGTTCGCGACGTCAATCTCGGCATACAATTCCAAATCGACCTTGTAATCTATGTTCTTTGTCGACGAATGTCCGCTAAAGGATACAGTCGTGGGAGTGACGTCGAGCTTGGCTGAAGATTCAGGCACATCGGGAACGGCAAGCGAGAGATAGATGATGTTCTTAGCAGGTTCAGTTTCGGAGGAGCGCTGGGCCCAGAGAACTGTATGGAGTTAGCGCCTTTGCCCGCTTCAATTAAAAACGTAACTCTTGAGTGAAGGCTAAAGCAGTTTATTCTGCGCCTTGTGAGCTGCCCCAAGACCGATGCGACAAGCGGCAGAGGCGTATGTAGCTTCACTGCCCTGGTAACCGTGGTCGTTCGCGCTTCAGCATCAGAGCAGGAGGATTCCCCTCACCTTCTGGAACTTGAGTGCTAGCCATTGCGATGTTGCTATGACGGCCGAAGATAAGCTGCAGATTGAGAAAAAGGTATGATAAGGAACGAGCTCAAAGATGAACTACGAAGCACAGGCGTCGGTGTTGTTGCCGGAGCAGAGGCGAGAAGGCCAGAAGAGGGATGCTTTGACGGTTGGCTGGCGGCTTAGAAGCTGCTGGAAGCCGGCAGAGCGCACAGGCCACGTGGGTTTGCCCTGTTTGCTGGCTGACTAAACTGATTGGCCGCTGCTGATAAGATAACCACCCAGCCCCAGACGTGACGATGATGCCTTCTCGCGCGGCATTGAGGGAGAGAGAAATCCCAGACTGGACGAGAGATTCAACAGCTTGCCCCGTCCCAGTGTCCACTTATTACATTGTCCTTTGTCTCCATTCTCTATTTGACCCTGCCGCTCTACTCTCGCTATCTTCCCCCCTTATTTTAGTACGCCATTGCAGCCGAAATTCCCCCCCCCCCCCCCCCCCCCCCGGGGCGCAGAGTTGTCCCGAAGAACATATTCTCATAAACAAGCACCTGACCTGGCCATAGATTGTTGTTTGGAAGGCGATAAATTGTCCCCTTTAGCCTGGGGCTGTCTGCTAGCATGGAGACTCTTAAAGCGGTGTTCTTCAAGCCGGACCCGGCGGCCCAGGTACAACCAAGCAACACGCCATCTCCCCATCAAAACCTCCGCTAATCATTAATGTCCAATCTTAGATGAGAAAATGTAACGCTTTAATTCGTGGTAATACTCGAAAATTGGACCGCGATATCGCGCAGCTCAAAGCCCTTGATATAAAGACGAAGCAGTTCATTGTCGCCGCCTCCCGCAGGGCACAACGGAACCCAGCACGGGCTAGCCAAGCAGCCCAGGAAACGAGGATATTCGCCAAAGAATTGATCAGGATTCGAAAACAAAGCGCACGCTTGAACACTAGCAAGGCGCAGCTGGAAAGCGTGAGAATGCAGGTCAACGAAGCCTTCGCCGTAAGGAAGATTGAAGGCAGTCTGAAGACGTCCACAGGGATTATGAAAGACGTCAATATGTTGGTCAGGTTACCACAGTTATCAGAAACAATGCGGCAGTTAAGTGAGTCAAACGTTCCGGTCCGCAGATGACAAGGGGAACTAATCATGTGCAGGTTTGGAACTGGTCAAGGCCGGCATAATTGAAGAGAGTATAGATGATGCACTCCTAGACGACCAACTGCTGGAGGGCGAAGAAGAAGCAGCCGATGCGGAAGTGGATAAGGTGCTGCAGGAAATCTTGCAGGGCAAGCTTGCCAAGGTCGAGGGCCCGAGAGTGGAGGAGCCGCTGGAAGAACCAGCCGAGGAGGAGTTCGAAGACCAAGAAGCTACCCTCGAACAGATGCGTGGGCGTCTGGAAGCTTTGAAGAGCTAATAATATGTCGCCCGGCCCCTCAACCTGTTCCATTTACGACTTGCATGTGAGGCGAGCGCCTTCCGTTGTATACTTGCTCATTTGGCGCTCAATTATATCTATGTCGAACACGACATTATGTGTCTACGGCTTTACGGAGTACTAATATACTGTTTGGAGTTGGTATTTTGCTGGCTTGATTGTTTTTGCTGCGGGGTTTGTATGCATGAAGGTTAGGGGATATTGGCGTGGTTTACGGAGGAATGCGCCAGGTTTTATAGCACATCACAAATAACTATTCTACGGTCCGCGAAGCTCCTAATACTTAGAGCTACCATTCCAGCACCGCAGCCATAGCGTCCGTCAACCCGAAAGAACGAATTAATCAACTTTCTTTGGGCCACCCATTCTGCAAAACGGAACTCTCATCCACAACCAAGCCTAATAAGCATTTATTGTAGGGTGGAAAGAAAAATAGGATGAAAACATAAAGATAAAAATGAGAATGAAAAAGAAATTAAAAAAAAAGCGAAAAATTGGAATGATCGACGCAGGGTTCGAACCTGCGATTTTCCGCGGTACTTGAATGTAAAGCGGACGCCTTGACCACTGGGCCAGTCGATCTTCACCTCATAAAATTCGCCGCCAAGTTTTTATCACCACTTATGCAAACATCTCGCAGGATTCGAGAGGTACTTCGCCTATTTTTTTACCATTATACCTTGACCTACAGAGTACTCCGGTGTATGTATAAACATATATCATTTCACAGTAATTCCGAGAGATCAGAACTCCCCATTTCTCTCAGCGCCGGATTGATTGTCCGCTGGTACAGTAGTGCTGCTGTTATCGCCGCAAGCACAACGGCCGAAGCCAAAAATAGCGCTGAGATAAGCCGGAGCTTGGCGCCCAAAGCGGGCTAGCGCCGGATGGACTGAAGGGCTTTCTTTGACGCCCTCCAAGGCAGCCTCTGCCTCTTCCCTTCTCCTTCAGACCGACTGCATCGCCAGACGCCCCGTCTGCTCATTCACCGCCGCTGCTACTTTCACTTCTTCGCCCATCTCCGATCACCCAAGAGCCTAATCGAACATCCTATTTGTTGTCTTCTTTGCTCTCCATTACTCCATCGTCGTCTCCTCGCCACATATCTGCACTTTTCTCCGTCGCGTCATCAACAACAAAACATCGAAACAACCCGCCGTCGAAAGCCCATCGCATACTATCACCCCGTACCTTGATAGCTATCCAATACATCATAAGCTCGTCAATAAATCACCATGTCTGGAAAACTTGACACGTCTCTTGATGAAATCATCAACACCACCCGTGCTTCGCGCCGCCAGCGTCGCCGTGACTCCAGATCCACAAGAGGCAAAGCTGCCTCAGCTCCTGTTGGAGGTGTCAGAAAGCCGGCCCGCCAAGCCAAGGCTGCTGCAAAAGCCATCCCTACTGCACCGTCCACAGGAACGGGCGAGAGCAAAATCATCGTGAGCGGCTTGGTATGTGCTCTACCCTCTCCTTCCAGGCGCATTCGGGGATACGCAGTGATACTAATATCTAACAGCCCTCCGATGTCAATGAAGCGAATATCAAGGTATGTTGAACAGAGGCGCTCTCTGGGTTTCGTTCGCGAATGTCCGTTTTCAATCTCTCTTCGGTATTACGATCGAAAGCGTCGCTTTTCTTCACCACTGGTCATAATACACTGCAATTACGATTGCTGTGGACGATCCGTGTATATTCGTGTACACATCGTTGGCATTACAAGACAGTTGGCACCTCCATCAACTTTTGCTCGCCCGGTTAAGGCCTGATGTAAAGCTAGTCCCGGAGTTGAGCCCTGTCATCAACATGCAGATGTCTGGACATGCCCTGTCCTCCTGCCCGCGCAGCGACATCCGTGCAGTCGGTCTACAAGCTGCACGTCATCCCAGCCACTTGAAGAATCAAAAACTCTTCTTGGCTACGTTTTGAAAGCATTCCTTTTGCTTGCGGAGGTGTTGAGAATCAGCGAGCGCAGCAGTGAGAGCAGCATAGCACCCCCTAAAACTCTGGCAACTTGTGGTTGGCCCACGCCTATCCATGTCCGATGAGAGACGAGCGCCCCTACTGGTAAACGAACCTGAAGACGGCCTTATCGTCATCGCTCTCAGCCTTAGGCAGAGATAATAATTCGACTCACGCCATATTCCTCCTTTTCAAAAGCGACGGTCTGGCTTTGTTGAGCATATGCAGTGCATATCGCCCCCTACTTCCAATGTAGGGTTCTATGTTTTCGGTGGGAAATGGTATAATTTGGAGTGGGTGCCCAAGAGAATTGGGTGGTTCGGGAGGTTGAGAAATCTTGCGTTGCCTCGAGCTATTGGGTTCGCGTAGCATGAAGATCGGAATGGGAAGAGGACCAGGGAAAATCCTTCTGTCCTCTCCGCAGCGATGGTCGCTACTACTTACTAATGCTGTTATTGCTCTGTGCTCGCTGATCCACGGTGCCTTTTTGCTGGCGGTCTACTGCTTAAATTGAATTCTTTTACTATTCTCGATCGCGTCTACATCGGAATAGAATTCAAGACGCCTTTTACTAATGTGGCTTCGAAATAGGAATACTTCCACCAATCCGCTGGACCGGTTAAAAAGGTCATGGTCACTTACAACCAGAATGGCACTAGCCGTGGTATTGCCTCGATTACTTTTGCTCGCCCAGACACCGCTGCCAAAGCTGCCAAGGAGCTCAATGGCTTATTGATTGACAAACGACCGATCAAGGTACGTCTTAAGATCTCACAAGTTTGCATGCGCCATTGGCTGACAGTGATCAATAGATTGAAGTTGTAGTCGACGCTGCCCGGGCTCCCCCGGTTCCTCCCGTCAAGCCACTCGGTGAACGTGTTGTGTACGTAGAAACAATCCTTTCGCTGTGACGGAGCATATCTAATAGACCCCAGCCTCCCAAAGGCCCAGCCTAAGCCTGTATCCGCTGCAAAGTCCGGCAGACGTGATCCCCGCGGACGTACACGACGTGGTCGTAACGCCAATCGCCCGAAGCCAAAAACTGCCGCCGAGTTGGATGCTGAGATGGCGGATTATTTCGAGGCCTCTGAGGCCGCCGGTGCGCCAACAAATGGGACTGCCCAGCCGGCAGCGAACAATGAAGATATGGGCATGGATGAGATTTCTGTAGGTCACCGCGTCCTATAAACACATAACTCTTGGCTGACGATCGTGGTACAGTAAATCCAGTTCAGTTAACGGTCGACGGAGAAGAACGCGCTTTTGTACTTTTACTTTCTCGGTCGGCGACTCGCCAGTTCAATGACTCGCTCTTTCGTGAACTCCGAACCTCATCACGTTTTCCGCAAGAGGAGTCGTTGATCTACGGCATCAACAAGCGACTTTCCTTTCTTTCTTTACCCTTTCAGATTGTTTAATCGTTTCTTGCAACCTTTAATTCGATGGCTATGCTGGGCGTTTGGATTTCAAGAATGGTTTCTTTACTATTAGTGATATAACATTCAAAAAAGAAAAAAATTATTCCCACTTGCAGATTGTCAGAGCCTTGGTGCGAAGTGCACTTCTCTTGTGATCGAAGGGTCGGACGGTCGGGGAACTGGTAGATCGGGGGGCTTTGGGGGGAATTTCGCATTCAGTTTCTTATTTCCTTTGTAGCGTGAGCGTAGCATGGGGCTCAATTCTAGGTAAATTAGGCGTTTCGGACGGACCTTTGGTTATTGAGTATTGTCATCTGGATTATTTTATTTTCTCAAGCAGTCAGCACAGTAAAAGCCAGAATCGCAAATGAGACCAAATCTCAGGTGAATGGCAGGCAAAATATAAAGGTGTAGAGCACAAGACCGCGGTGATGGTTTTACGACCTCCATGTCGTACGCGTCGCTGTTGTAATGTGAGAGAGCCCCATAGGAGATTAATGGTCAATCAGCTGGCAACTATGGCAATTGTGGCATGATGGATGGTATTCATCACGGACTACATTGTAGGGATGCGATGCTAAGAACAATCGATAGACAAGAGGCGGTGAGAAGGACCCGACACAATGGTGATTGAAACATCATCAAACCGGAGATGCTGGGGAGATGCATGGAAGACCCGACGCGGTCGAACAATCGACTATTCAAATATCAAAGGGGGGCCAATTGCGGAGGTGGCGAGGAGATCATAATAACTTTGCACGTAGCCTACTTTCTTTTACAGACAAAAACAAGAACTAGCTTAGTGCGCAAGGTACCCGACAGAGTGGGAATATAGCTCGTGCGTTTCCTTGGGCTTCCTGCTAGACTACGAGACTGGGGGAGGGGTTTGCAGCGACTAGGTCAATGGCGAGGGGGAAATAAGGGTATCCGACGGGAGGGATCACAGACCAGAAAACCAGATATCGATGGGCTTTGACGTCCAAATGGGGGAGGGAGGCGAACAGGGTGGCCAGACGATGAGAAATCAAGGCGTGCGGGGTAGAGCATAAAGAAAAAGGGACCCGATAGCATAGGAAATATCTCGCGTCCAACATGGGTGGACAGAGAGGATCGAGCGAGATCAGGTTGTCTAGAGTGGCGATAGTCGCAATCAAGCATATAGGTGTGGGCGAAAATATGAGGCCGGTGTGTGGGTGAGTCCGACGGTGTGGATTAATGTCTTTGTTGAATCATAACTGTCCAGATTCTCACTGCGGGCAGATGACCAGATCGGACATGTTCATCCAGTTTGCACATTAACCAGCTAGTCAGCGGTGATGGAGGAGGTCGACGGGGTGGCGCCATTGAGATGCAAAAGAGATAATCATCAAGTAATAGTGCGAACTGGTCTGGAACATATACATATGCACAGACAACTCATTGTAATATGTGCTTCAGCAAATTATCGGCGGTCGAGAATGTCCATAATAGGCAGATCATGTTATCTATCACAACTCCAACGCCCCAGACACCCCCGATCGACTCCTCCGCCCTACCTACGCACAGACTCCATGCCCCAAGATCTCCGCGCAAACTCAATCGATATACGACGCCACCCTATCCAAGGTGTAGAATATGAGAACAAACAGGGAAAAACGAAGCAGGAAAATAGCACAAAGCTTGGGCAAACGATTCTCCGCGCCACCCCACCAGGATTTACCTCTCGATCAGTGGCGTCGCAAGGCCACGAAGAAAGCAAATCTTGTGGAACACGGACGGGCAGACCCGAGGGGGTGGATGTCAAAAAGCGTACTCAACAGAGGTCTCGAAGAGCTGTATGCGGCCTCTGGCTGGCCCTCTCAAGTCTGGAGAGTTTGGAGGGCTGGCGTTAGTTTGTCAGGACCGGTACATCGGCAGCCTTGGTTGCGTTGTACATGCCCAAGATTGCTTGTACCTCCCAGATAAAAAGACGGGGGAGCTGCATGGGATCGCACCGCTTGTGTATTTGACATCAACACGCGTTATCGTCAAAGCTTCAAGCCTTGCCGTGAAGTTCGAGAACGTATGACGTAAATCAAGGGTGGTTCAAAGGTCAACACACGTCAGTACCGGCTTCCGTATCATTTGCACCATATACTAACGTAAGAGAAGTCACGTAAAAAGAGAGAAAACCAGACACGCATAGCTCGGCGGCCATACTCATATACTAAGCTTTCCAAAAGTTGGAAAGATCACTGCACACCCAGAGTTCGATGTGAAGAGCAAACTCGAGTTGAGGCTAAAGAGAATGTCGACTAGGTGAAGATCTCGATGATTTACAGATCTTTGACCTTGTGATAACACTCCTCTGTTAGCACTGGTTCCTATCACCGAGCGCGATTCCTCTCAAATCATCGCATCGTGGTCCTTTTCCTCTTGTTCAAAAACATTTCAGGGCTCAACTATGCTTCTCGCGAAGCGTTTGGAATACTGTCGATGTGTATTGGAGGTTGTGCTGCCACGCTGTGTGATATTGTAAGTCACTGGCATGACCACGTGCTGCATCCTCAGTGCGTATTATGTCCATTACCACAGAATCGGAGATAATCCAAGAGGCAAGGCAGAGTTCCAAGGCTTCCGGAGATGAAACCAACAAGATACAGACCACTTGTATGTAACTACATATCTGCGATCAATGACTTATGAGAATCCATCACAGAGAAACGTGTGGGCTTAATTAGGCAAGAAAAATTTTTGAATCGATTGAACATTCGCAGCCAATATCGTTTTCAAAACAAAGGGGCCATCTGGTTGCAATTCACAGTTGGTGCATCCTCCGGAGTTTCCCACTCCGGTCGAGGAGCCGGGAACCCCTCGTGTTCTGGGTAAAGAGTCTCGTTCGTCTACCTTTGCCAGATGAGGAACGATAGGAGACTTGTGTGATCGTATCCTAAATTAACTATCGGTCTGTGGCTTCGCAATTTTCCTTGAAACAAAGATTGTTTTTCTTTTTTCTTTTTCATGAAGAATCAAAAATATCATCACAACGCCCCTTGCACACCGGCGGTGGCGAGACAAGGTCCTTCAGCACAGCTGGGGTAGAGTGGATGTTGGAACTGTTTTTTTGTGACGAGAAATCCAGCTCCATGGACCTCCGTGGAGAAATTGTCTGGAGAGCCGCGCGGGATGACAGAGGATGATACTCCATGTCGAGTGTTCAGTGATTGTTTCGCTTCTTTGCAAGATACCTCGACCATCCCTTGTCGAGTCCAGAGCAGGCCAGGCAAACCGTTGGGCATCCTGCGGGATAAGGGAGGATATTCAAGGCAACGAGCGGGGGGAGTGGGATGCGAGCGAGGACCCCAGGAGGAGAGTGATGGCGAGAATACACATCACGTTGAGATGTGATGCATCCATGTGCCTCGGGCCACGACGCCCATTCGATCACATCCATGTCCAGGGCAGAAAAAAAGGCGCCGAATCTGCTGTGTAAAACGGACTGTAAAAATGGTGAGCAATGCGCCCGTTACGCGCCCTGACCAGCCGTGGATTGTGATTTGTCCGGATGTGGAATATTACACCCGTTTACAAGCGGGATTACCGCTTCTCTGTGAATTATACGCATTTTCATTGGCTAAATTATAAAAAAGTCAGCGAATCAGGTTAAATCCCGGGGCCGGGCGGGGGGGAAGGAACAGAAACGCGGGCGAATTCCGAAAAGAAAGACACAAACGCAAAACAAACCCCGGCAACAAGCAGCAAGCAACAAGCATAGTTTGCCCGATAGCAAAGGCGATGAGGTCAAACCCAGGGCTCGATCTGACGAATCCCACACCGCAACGCACGCAACTCCTGTTGAACTATCACAAACGATCGATCAGGCCGGTGTGCATACTGCGCTCTCCCAGCACCCGAACAATGGGGATTTGGCCCACCGAAGCCATCCCCGTCGCGTCGCAGCGCCAGCTCCATGCCCAACTGAGCAAAAATATACCGAGAATGCCGACTAACCCCCACCTCCACAGCGCACCGCTCCTTGAAGCAAAAAGTAAAAATGAAAAGAAAAAAAAGGGGGGATTGATGCCGAAGAAACTACTCCGTAGTGGCCTGCGGAATCGCCCATCCGCCGACGGCGTGTTCCAACACCATGGCTAGCGGGCGGTTAGCGAGTTTAAGCGTGAGGGGTTGTCCGGGATCTCGGGTTACCCCAAATTGCTTGACCTTGGGCATACGGAGCGAGGAACAGAAGCGCGCACTAGTGAACAAGTGAGGGGTGGAGGGAAAGGGTCTGGCCCCCTTTTGAGCTTCAACTGCCGTTTTTGGACAATCGACGGCAAGCATAATGGCACTGCGTGTGGTTAGACACCGAACCGTTGGAAGACGAAGGGAGGGAGTGAGAGTCCGTCGAGGGGACGAGAGAGCAACCAGCAGATCGATGCCAATAGTCTCGATTGTCCTTGGGTTCGGGGTGAATGGCAAAGACGATTCAGCGAGCAGATCGGGTGCCGAAGACATCCCCGATTCCAGTCCAGACCGCTCGAAGAGTCGAGGGCTCGGACAACGTCAAAATCGAATAGACTCGCATAAGTCAAGGCCGCATAGCACAATTTGCCACGATGCTTTCGCTTCCGCCTCTGGCTGCCCTTGAACTCAATTACCCCAGAACGTTCCGAAGGTTGATTCTGCAAGCCCCAAAGGGCTGATGGACATCTCGCATATTTTAAGAAACTCCTAATCGGGGGAAGATATTCGACGTAAACTTCCGGGAGGCATCCTCCCTCCCTTCCGCTGCCCAAGAACCGCATCCCTGGAGCGAGCCGCGCGTGTCGACCTTGCCTGAAATAGCAAAGTGCGGTGGGGATGGTGTGGTCTGGGCGGCGCAGGAACAATGCAAGCTGTGCAGGGCGGAGACTGCAGAACTCAGGGGGAGGCGAATAACTGGACGGATCCTACATACGCTCCATGCCCTGAACCAGGTTGTTGGATTTTGAGCTCAGATGGAGATCTGGATATGTCCGATTGTGCGTGTGAAATATCAGATAAACACACTTCGTATGAAGGAGAAATATGAAATAGTACCCACGGGGAGAAAGGACTCGAACAAAGAGAGAGAGTCGAGCTAGGGGCATTCCCACGCATGCTCCGGCTAGTGAGTTGAGGAGTCAGACATCGCTGATCTTCCAGCCTGCGCTGGCTCCTACGATCGTCAGGATGGCCGGGGACAGGGCTCTTTGGTTTATACTGGGGTCTACGGAGTATTATGCGTCCAAGAATAACTGCTGTCCTGCCATCACGGGCACTGCCTCGACATGGAAGTTGAACAGGGCTCAGAGGCATACTAAGTAACTACTCCATATTATTGCTATTATTATGATGATTATGGAGGTACTCAGCAGTATGGGCTTTCTCCTGTCTGATGGGTTGTCACGTTGGCGCGACCGTTTCGCCCCCCTTTTCGACGTTGGTTGTTCTGTGTTGGTTCTAGAAGACTAGTGGTGCGGTCGGGATAAACTCGGCGTCTCCTGACGCCGCCACAAGAAATGAAGACCGCCAACTCACCAAGGTACCCCCATGTCTTGATGTTCTGACAGGGTGGATGAATTCTCCGTCCTGCGAATAACAACCAACGTCCTGTGGTATGTACTCCGTAGATAGAATGTAAACCGGCCAGAGAATGCGCAAAAAATAATAAGCCGACGGAAAATTAAAAAAATAAAAAAATTGAATGTGACAAGGGTGGGATTCGAACCCACGCGGTTTCCCATTGGTGATATATTACCTAAAACCAACGCCATAACCACTCGGCCACCTTGCCCTTACAGGTTATGTAATAGGCCCTCCTAAGTATTTCTTACATTGGAACCCTCACACGAAGCGCACATTCGGTTAACCTTTTTTTTCCGCTGCTGCTTTCAAGCTTTGGCAAGCGGTTGTGGGCCTCTTTGAGTCCCTCGACCAGCAAAACCATCGACGATTTGTTTGGTTTACACACACACCCACACACTACGGAGCGCAGAGCATTGCTATATTGAAGAGCCAGATCATTCACCAGTCATGGAGAATGGCCGAAGGTGCCAAACGAGGGTCCATCTGGTTGCTTTTTTGGTGTCGGCTCCATCATGCCGCGGGATCGCTGACCCGGACGGTTGGCGGGAGGAGGCAGAAGCTGCCCAATGAGGCTAGTGTGGGTGGGCACCAAGGCTCCATAATCCAGCGGGAGGGCCGGGTCGTGAAGATGGGCGGCGTGGCCCTCGGAGTTGGGAGAGGGAGGGAGAGAGTGGGCGAGCAGCCATGACGAGTCTGAACAGAGACTGGGGGGAAGTGAAAAACATGTGTTCGCCTTGCCGGAGTTTCTCTATGGGAGAAGAGTGCTTGGGGTGAGACTGCACTTCCAGTCGTTACAGGCCATCGTTGACACGTGCTGCCAGAATGAATGCCCAAGTTCCCAAGGCAGACAGCTAGACAGCCAGAAGAGCTGTCACGAGCTCCTTATTTCCCGCGAGGGAGAGCATCCTATTAGCCGGAAGGTTGTGTGAGGGTGAAACCGGAATAACGACACGCTCTCCCTTCATCAGAAGCCAAAATGGAAAAAGTAATTCATTTACCCGCTGGGCTGAGCTGCTCGTTCTCCTTTCTTTTCGGCTCCACTCCTTAGCTTCCCACGATGACGGTTCCAGCCCGGCGGTGGATTCCCGCCTCTTCTTCCAACTCTCTGACCCATGTCTTCGTCCCGCCCGTGCGGATTCCCGAGGTTACTAGTCAGCCATGAGCAGCTCTCCAAGTCGCGGAAGCAGGTCCCGTAGCAAATAACCCAAATAAAAAAAGTGGATTCAAGGTCCAGCTATGCGAGTAGCTCACTCGCCGTTGGGTGATCACAATCCGACGATGAATTCCAAGGGACCGGAAACTGTTGCAAAGTCAAAAGGGATCGGTGGGACTGTTCCCTTGTGGATGTTTCTTCGGCCAGAAGGGTATTATTTAAAAGGGACCAGAGTCCGCTCAGCAGAGCGTGAAGAACCTTCTGTTATTATGACTAGGTCATCAACATACTCTGTTTGGAAGTCGATGTAGTACATTCGCTACAAAAAAAAAAGAGTTTGTCACACTCCTGCCATTCGCTTGTTACATCTGCCATAACACCCTCCCCCCAAATCGTGAAACATTCCAGACCACGTTTCGACACTTCACCAGCACCACGAAAACATCGCGTCTGTCAATTCTGCCGACGTGGAAATCAAAGCCAAACACAGACGCGAGGCCTGATAGCGCGACGTCACCGCCTTTCTACTTTTGTTGCGTGTGCGGAGAAACCGAGTCGACCACCACGAACTCCGACGTCCAATCCAATCGTCGCCAGCAGTTGAAACGCGGACAGCGTGGGGAGAGAGCCGACACTAAGGTCGGGGAAGCGATATTTCCCCTCCGTATTTTGCTTTTCTCTCTCTGCTGTCTCTCTCGCCCTCTTCAAAAGCCGCCTTATCGATTAGGTTGGGTATCTGGCCCCAGCGATTGGGCGACATCGCTCGAGTCGAGAACCACCGCCATCCCACTCAGAGGCCCAATCCGACCCCACACGCCTGAAGTATCGATTCCCATTCGTCGGAAGTGTCGGTGTGCCTTGTCATTTCGACAGCAACAGGTATGTGTGTGTGTGTGTTTTTTTTTTTTTTTTTTATTGACCCTGACTCACTTTGGTACCCTCTCGCGTGTCAAGTTACTTGTATGGAGAGGGGTGGATGTATCTCCGAATTTTAAACACAAGCTATCGGCAACCATTAACCAGAGACTCACCTTTTTCACAGACACAAAGGGGCTAAATTCCAACTTCGCCTGAATCTTCCGCCGCGTTGGTTGGTCTTAGTCACCAAAGTAAACCAGTATCCGCACTTTGCAGAGACTTTGGATCTCCAAGGTACCGGAACGTCCAAAGGACAAAGAGAAGCCCAACCACAACAAACAACGCATTCAGGCAAGAAACAAATCGCCCGTGAGGCCCCAGAGGTATAAGAATAGGAGGTCAACAGCTCGTTTGCACCCCCGCATCTCCGCTCTTTCATACATCATACATTGCATTCCAAAGAAACATACTGTCAATTATTATCATTATTATCACGCCGATATTCTCGATCATATAACTCCATACTGATCGACACGGTGCCCTTTTTGGCCTGCATAACTCTCCACCACATTTTATTTTACGCCATCGGACACAATTCCGACACCTAGCCTGGACCTTAAGTACCAAGCAGACCGATCAGAAACACTAAGGCGTCTTGACATCAACGACTCAGAAACAAAGCGTCGAATCATATCCAGCCATTTCCACTACCCCGACTACGGAGATTCATATCCTGTCGGTGAAAGGAAGCACGAAATTCGCAAACGAACGAAAATCAAAGGACTCTTAAAATTAACAAGAAGTCCTTTTCCTGAAATTATCTTCTTACATCCCTGCACCGGGGGAAGAGAAAGAAAAAAAAAAAAATTATCTTCAGCTCTGACGGCACCTCCACTGTGCAACGGCAACCGACTCATTTCTACTACTTCGCCCATTCAAGAATCTGGGGTTTACCTGTGCTCGTGGATTGGGCACAGTGTCTTGATCCAGTGACAAAGCCAGCGTCGAGCGTGGCATTCTGATTTGCGACCAACAAATCTTTCTTGGCCCGTGACAACTTCACAGGGCTCGCCCTCACTGACGTGTGACTGGTGCGAAGGCAAAGAAAGAAAGAAAACCAGAAAAGGCGGGCTGACTAGTCAGTTCCAGTCTGGCCCCTGCGACCGACCCAACAGCCGAAACAACGCCAACCGGTGGTCGGAGCACGCAGCAGAGAAGTAAGAGAGAGAAAAAATAAATAAATACGGTGTGCACACGCTAAGCTCCAATTCGATCCTTTGTGACGCCCCGGACTCGGCGGACCGTTCCATGATCCTCTACTTTTCGTGTGTGCCACCCCCGACTTTTTACTAAATTTACTCCGTACACTATATTATTTACCCCCATCCCACTCAGCTCCGACGCAAATCCACCGCTTCATTGTTTCCTCCCACACACACCCAAACTTCTATTTTTCTCCTCTGGGGATAAATCCGTCTGGACTTCCTTTATCTCCAACCCTGCAGCACAGGCAACAACCTCACTGCAAAGTTTCCGGACTTGCTATTTTTCCTTGGATGTGTTGGGTTGTTTGCTACTCTGCGACACCCCCAAATTCAGCTTATACTCCGACCCGACAACGAAACAAAAGTTGCTGTGCCCTTTACTCCGTTTGCCTCTCTTACCTTTATTTAGCTCCTGGCGTGCGATATATATATATATATATAATTATCCAGTCAGCCCAGAAGCTCCGTTTCCCTTCGATCCTTACAAACATTTCCAGTCACGACATACTACTACTACCAAGATGTGGTACGGCTACGGCTTCAGCAGCAGTGCTGCCTCTTCTCCATCACCCTCATCGCTCCCTCCACCACCTCCACCACCATCTCCCAACGACTCCCTCCTCGACATCAGCCCCCGCAAGACATCCTTCTCCACGTCGTCTGGACGCAACACATCCTGCGCCTTCCCATCCTGGCCCAACCGATCCTCGCTCTTCTCAGACTCCGACGAGAGCGCCAGCGCGTTCCTGTCGGACGAGGATCTCTTCGTGGCCTCGACACCTGACTCGGTGCTCAGCAGCGACGACGACCTGTCGCTGCCGTCGAGCGCGTCGGATCTCACCACAGAACAGCAGATCGGCCTGATCCAAGCGGCACGCGAGAATGAGACGCAGGGGTTCTTCGCCCAGGTTCAGGCGCACGCCCGGGCCCAGCAGGCTCTCCGGGTGGCCCAGCAGACGATGGCAGCGCAGGCAGGAGCCAAGCGCAAGAAGCGACGCGTCGTTACAGACAAGAAACGCCGCGCTGGCTCGGCGTCCTCGTCGTCTTCATCCAAGGCGTCCTCCAAGGCCGTGTGAAACCGATTAACCGCGGTAACGATATTATACTCTTCTTTTTTCAACATTGTTTCGCCCGATCTGGACGACGACACCTCGACTCGGAAGGTCAAAAAAGGAAAGCCGACGACTACTTTACCGCATGCGTTTGCAACACACGGTAGCCTCGGTCCATCGGCGGTAAGGCCTACAGACCACAAAGACAAAAAACGTCACCCTCACCACCCTCTTTTATTTTTTTAAACTTTCAGCGGTAGGGCTGCGAACCCTGGCTCCGCATCCACCCGATGGAGGGAGAAAGCTTTTGGCGAACAAACAAGTAAAACAACCACGGAAAAAGCGGTTGTCGCAACTCCACGTGAAAGTCAAATCAACCACGCGGAATCGCCACGAGAATACTTTTTTCTTATTATTGATGATTTACGGACTTTTGCCGTTTTTCATCGATTCGGATGGAAGTCCAGCCCAAAAAAAAAAAAAGCTTGAAAGGAGGGAAACGACTTTGATCCGGAGCGAGAGTTCCGACCCCACGACAGCCTCGGCTGTTATGCGATTCGCTGTTGGGGGGAAGACGGGGATTCTCATCTGCACCGTCCATCAGCCGCAAGATGACTCGACACACACGCATACACACGCAAAAACAGTGTGTTACCTCTTTTTTTATTTAGTGTTGACGGTTACTCCGGGACTCGTATTTGGCGCTGTGACAGGCGAAGAGTCGTGTTGTTCTGCATGTTCGTCGCGTGCGCCTCACCGACTCTGGGCGGCTGGCGGCGGAGCTGCGGAGGGAGAATGCTGAGTCAGCCAGCCAGCCAGCCCTTTCACTCACCGCCTGTTGTTTTGTCGTCGTTCCTTATTCGACTCTCCATCATCGCTCGCTCGCTCTCCCTCGCACGTTACACCCGACAGACTCTTCCTCGCCCTATGAAATCTGTCATTTTTTGTCGTGCATCCCGTTCCCTGTTTCCGACTCTTTTTTTTTCTCCTCTTTGATCTTCTCCTCGGGCTGCCCGACAGTTTCGATACCAAGTTTTTTATTATTATTATTTTTCTATTTCGGAGTATCTTTTAACTGTTAGCCTATTTTTATCTTTACTTTTTATTTATAATCTGCCCACCAATCGCACTATACCCCCCCGAGATTCGTCATCTCGAGTCTTTGTCGTGTTATTTCTCTTGTTTTTAAAAAAAATTCAGCGTTGCATGGCGAGGATCTTATTTACCGTCTGTTACTCCAGCATAGCGAGGTGGTGTTTGGAAAATTGGCATGCATTAACTACTACTACTACTACCACGATGGCATCGCAATTTCACTTTCTCTCGCACACACGCATATATGCATATTACATAGCGATATGGGACCCGCAAAACTCGGCCCCCAGTCTATTCTTAACTAGTTGATAGTCTTACAAATAACTACCCCCAAAAAAAAATAAATAAATAAATAAAATAATCAACACGAAATCATTTTGATCTCTTCTTTCCTCTCCATCACCAGCATCATCATCATCCTCTCCTTCCCCACGTGAACATTCGACAGGCAGCAAACAAAAGGGAAGGAGATGATGTCATCACCAGCCTTACCCGGAAAGAGCCCAAAGACGCATCGTTGTTTCTGCCCAAGGCAGGCAGTAACTTCCTAAAACAATACTTCCCCACCTTCCCCCCCTTGACTTGACTCACACAAAACACACACAACCCGTGAACCCTGCGAGAGGCTGGAACTTCTTGAAAGCACCAACAAAAATGCACGCCCGCATGGACGGTCCGCCTTCATCAAACCGAGACCTTCGAGTGTCACTAATAGATTGGACATACAAGATGAACCAAAACACCCCCCCCTTCAGGATTTTGCTTCATATTGAGGTAGATAGTAGCAACATCTACATCTTCTGCGTGTAAAAAGGGGACCCCATGCCCAGGCTGGGGGGTGTTTCGGGCTGCACAGCAAGTTAGCAACCCTTAGACAGCCGGTAGTTAACAAACGATAAACGCTGCCCCGTAACTTTGGGAATAGGCCGGGCTGGGCTGAAGGGATTCACTGCTCGCCCTACATCGCCACGGAGTTGCATGGATATGCATAGAATACATGATCAGATCAGGGTGAGAAGAGTGATAGAAGAGTTAAATTATCGGTTTCATGTTAGGATTGCCGTTGCTCTTTGAGGCTGTACTCAGTTTTGATTCATAAATGTACTTTATAAATGAATGTATGTATGTATATACCGAATATACTTTATAAATGTATGTATGTATATACCGAAAATGGCAGACTGTTCTAGTGGTGGTAGATTATTATTATTATTATTATTATTCATTATAGTCTTATGCAGTCAGTTAGTGGTGGTAGAGGCATGGTATGCAGACTGGATCTGTCTCCTGAATCGCTGAGTTTACTTCAGAAATACTAACAGGCTCCTCCCCACCCTCTTCGCAAATAAGTGGATGGGTTGTCGAGGAGAGATGTCGGTAGCTGTCAAGGCATGTTCCCGAGATCCAGGCCCTCCAAAGCTCATTGTGCTTATCACTGCAGGACTCACAAAGATATCCCGTAATAATAAAAATTGGGAGAGAGAGGAGTGATGAAGGGATCTGAAAGACTTCACAAGTGAGACCCCGTCGCCGTGGTGCACTTCCCGGCATTCTGGTGTTTGAATAAATAAACCCCCTCCCGCACTACAGCAACCATAATGCTGTAGCCTCCAGAGGGTTATAAGTGCTCTTCTCTTCACGTTTTATACCCAGCACTAGGCGCACCAAGTTCCTAAGGATATGGAGGGGAGTCCTGCCTCATTCACTCATTCCGACTCGGGGGAAAAGCAGACGCACGGAATCTCGGGCCCTACTGAAAATTTGAGAGTTACACTCGGTTTGAATAACACTGGAGTGCGACCAAAAAAAAGAAAAGAAAAGAAAGAGAAAGAAAGAGCCAAAGAAGACGGAAGGGGAAAAAAAAAAAAAAAAAAAAAAAAGAGCCGTCTACCGAGAGTCGATGCGAAGGCTGTCCTCAGTTCAACAAAACCATTTACTCGTATGCAAGTTTTGGGTAATGCAATCATTGAGATGATTGAGGACTAAGCATTTAAACAAGGACCATATCACGGGCGAATTTTTTTTTGCGTTCGATCGTTTGGTTAATGGTTGTGATCGAAGGGTTATCTGTCCTTTGGCTTCTGTTAAAGTTGAGTTCCGGGGTAGTAAAACCCAGCGTGCTAACTAGAAAGTGTGTATCATATTGTATAGCATATTATCAATGAATTTGTCCGTGACTGCATGTAATGTCGTCACGCTTCTTGACGATCTTTTTCCGTAAGGAATGGCTATGCTGCTGCCTCTGGCCGCGATCGGGGGGTAATGTGCGGAGCTTGGAGCCGACTGGGCCATATGCGTATCAAGTTCGCGAGGGTGGCTGCCATACCAGCCATGCGTACACATGTTGCATCGCTTCGATTGTGGGATGGGGCCATTGGATTCTGACGGGAATGGCGCACAAGAGGATTGGCTCATGTTCGCGTCGAATCAAGGTTCACCGTCACCACTCACATGAGACACAACGAACCAGCGAACCTTCCAGGTCAAGAATGCATGAACGCTCGAGGCGCAATCCATAGAAAAAGAACGGCATCACAATGATCGAGGCGGGAAGATACTCATGTCCTGCATGTCCAGTATAGGTAACGGGCTCAGCGCGCAATCCGCCGGATAAAATCTGGACTTGCACGGGGGGGTACCGAGAACTCCATAACGTGGAGTCATTTTCACAGGTATGTGACAGGTTTCCACAGGAGTATCCTTGATCAATGGGAGCTGGTGGAAGGAAAATCCCGCTTCCTGAGGATTCACGACGCTGATGGTGGCGGGTATGATCATGGTTTGACCATGTCCTCGTCAGGGGCAGACTGGGCAGTTCAACCGTGCGCTCGTAAGTGTGTGTGATTGAGTTGAGGGAAAAGAGGGAAAAGAGGGAAAAAAAACATGAAAATTAGAGGAGGATGGGCGCTAACGACGACGTTATGTATAGCGATCACAGTGACGACGAGTCAAGCCCTGCAACGACTCGCTTACGGCGGGTGGTCGACCGGGTGGCCCACAAAGGGCGAAAATCGTCACAAAAGGAGACGAAACTAACTACAGCATAGTCGCTGACTCCGGAGTTGCCCAGCTCACATTCCAGCACATCCGCTGATTGACATGCATGCCCGTGAAGAAGCGGGAAGCGGGAGGATCATGCATAAGCGCCGTCTTCAGCAGCATCTCGAGCGGTGAGTGCGGGATGAGAGTTGTGTCTGGACTGTGACAGAGTATTCACGACAAAAAAAAGATTATTATCACTACGGAGGATACATCTGGAATTCTATTCTTGAGCAGCCTACGCCTCGAGTAAGAATAGCATGATGTTTTTCCTGCTCGATGCGAGTGGCACAGCCCGCGCAAGGGTTCTTCACCGTGATTGTGATTGAGGCGAAGCCGTCGACAAGGACCTCACACGGCCGCCCATCACCTTAGCACGACTTGCAACCTGTGATCATGGACAGCAGCTCTCCGTCGGGTTATCCTCTCTCTCTCTCACTCACTCACTCACTCGCTCCCTCTGTTAACTCGCCTTCTGGGCCCTCTCTCTGTCTCGCGCACGCTCTCCCTTTTCGCGCCGCCAATTTCCCACATTGCGGCCTCGCCAGCCTCTCATCATCGAGCATCCCCATCGGCCAGATCGCCATCACACTCTTGCGTGTGCTGATTGGCCTGCCCGCTGTGATGGCGGCTGCAGGGTGAAGAAACAACCCTTGACGCCGCCGGCCAATCCACGGCCGTGAGCCCGTTCAGCAGCACGGCGCTAGCTGCTCATCCTTGTCGGTCCAGAGGACGACCCCACGATGTCCTCTTCACCCAGCACGCCCGCCCCCGTGGCCAAGGAGGGCCCCCGAAGGGCTGCAGTCTGTAGTTAATTTCGTCTGTTTCAAACACCCGTCCAATCTGTGATGATGGATCGGCCCATCGAGCTCTTCTCTGCTCTCTCGTGCCGGTGGACGAGCACGCTCATGGAGTCCGGCTACGCTCTCATCTGATGACGGCGTGCCGCTCGCACACTCGATAGTCGACCACAGTCTTACTTCGGGTTGCCGCCAATCGGTTGGCTGCACTGCATAGTCCATCTGATGCGATTTCGCTTGCACCCTTCCCCATTGGTGTCTCCGGCTTTGCAATGGACGAGATCCGTTCAGCCAAGGGACCCCTCAATCTAACGGACTGACCGTAGATACATCAAGCCATCTCTCTCTCGGCTATCCAAAGAATCCTAAGCACTATGAGGGAGCTCTGCGCCTCCCCGCTCTTCGCTGCGGAAGTAATTGCTTCTAAATCCCTTCCTCTCCCTTGCATGCCCTCTTGAAGACCCAGGGCACTGCAAAAGACTGCAGCTGTTCCTTTTCCTTCACTTTTATCCGTCTGTTCATCCATGCATGCATGCATATCCATACATGAACCGGCCCAAGGTGCATTTCTCCGTGCATGCATATCGCTGTTCTGAAAATAGTTTCCATTTTCACCGTATTAGCGCTCGCCCTGCTTTCCCTGCCCCTCTCACCCCATTCCCATATCCTTGTCGGCGCTTGCAAGGTCGCCGTTGAGCTATCAGTTTCCTTGCACACCAGCCACCATTTCGCTTCTCAACCGTCTTGTCGCCCTCCATTCGTCCCGACACTCCTTCTTTTATTTTATCTTCATCTCACGGCTCGCGACGAATCGTAGGGGGGGCCACATTCTATCTCCTCATTCTTGGCCGGACCGTTTGGCCTCTTCCTCGAAATCCTCTTCTTCCTTCTCTCCCCTCCCTTCCCTTCGACCATCTTCGCGCTCTGCTTTATGATCCCCGTACTCCGTTGTACATGTGTGCTGTGTACCGATTCCCCGACGATTGGGAGCCCCCGTTACAAGATTGTCTCTGCTGTACTTCCTCCTCTCCTCTTATCATACGTCTGGAATTGCTTTTTTCCCCTAACCCGCATTCTTGCTAGCCACATATATCTCCATTGACTCGGCAAATTACCGTTCGCATTCAAGCGCCGACCTCCTTCGCCGCCGGCCACTCTCGTCCCTTGTCTCTTCGCCCCCCCCCGATCTTGCTGCATGGCCGCGACGTCCCGATATCTTGAACTTCTCTGACCTCATCGACCTAGAGGCCTGCGGGTTTCTTGAATCTAAGCGCCTGCTGCGCGGATTTGAGAAAGGTCAGAATTTTCCTGTTGGTGTCTCACCCGGCCGTAAGTCGGCCCATCTCATCCCTGTGATCTGCGTTCAATTCTTCAGCCTTCTTTTGCCTATAGTTTCTGCTAGCTCCGTTGCGTCCTCACATCCGCTCTCTGTGGGATCTCTCAGACAAGCTGACAATTAAATGTAGAGATCGACGCACCTTAGGGGCTGCCTAAGCTGTCAGCATGTCTGCCGGGCATCTGGAGAGACAGAGGTCCATATCCTCCAGTTCTCGCTCTGTCTCCGCTGCGCTGATGCCGAGCCCTCCCCTTGAAATCAACAATGACTTCGAACCCTGTGCGGCGACGGCCTCTTCGTTCCTGTTTGCACAGGGTTCGACAATACTAGTTTTACACCATGATACTCTTGCTGTTGACCGGAAATTCGACTTTCATACGGAAAATATCCTCTTCATCGCTGTCGACAACGTCAGCGAAAGTGGTGCCGGTCGACTGGTAGTGAGTTACGATACTAGCCAGACTGCGATCATATGGGACATTTTCACAGGCCAGGAGATTGCTCGCTTTGCTTCGTTCGAGCTCTTGCGTGTCGCTGCGTGGATGCGCAATGGGAATATTGCGTTTGGTGCGTATTAAAAATACACTTTGTCATCCTAGTCGTCACTATATTAACACAGAGCGTCTCTAGGTGGCGTAAAGGGAGATATCATTCTCTTCGAACCTTCCACCTCGGAACATATATCTGCCAGAACCATATTCGACCCGATCACCGCCCTCGCTCCCGCAGCTGATTGCCGCTCCCATGCAATTGGGTACGTCAGCTCCTCCATACTGCAGAATCGTCTATTGACATTAGGTCCAGATACCATAATGGTTCAATATTAATAGCGACGCTCCAGCCCTTTACTATCTTGCACACGCTTAGTACCTCGAGAGGCCCGTCGCCGATTGTTTCATTGGCATGGCATGCCTCCTCGGCCAAGCAGAAGTCCGACATGCTGGCGTCTTTGGCAGTTGACGGAGACCTTCTCGTATGGAGTGTCTCTAAGCAACCGGTACAAGATGCACCTCGAGTAATAAGAACCTTGAGAAAATCGGAAACCGTGGGCATGAGCCCGAAATGGCTGGCTTGGTCTAAGAACGGTCGTATCGTCCAATATTCTGATGGGTAAGAAGTCTTCTACTCTCTATCTCGGAGCGATTTACTGACCATGTCTTCAAAATGGAAAGTGAAACATGGGCATGGGATGTGAGAACGAAGCAAGTAACTGGTGGCTAGCTAGACTTTGGCGAGATGCCTACGAGCGTATCCCGACTATCGAAGGCGTTAAGAGTATGGCCAATTATGGCCCGACAGGGACACTGTTCACGTTGGGACCCAACCACACCGTGCAACAGTATGATCTTCTTAATCCTATGATGGTTGCCAACGTTCAACACGTCCCTGGGAACGCGACCTCGACACCCTCTCAGGGTTTGAATACTTCCATGCCCCTGCAAGCGGCTCTTGCCTCCTCTTCAGCAAACCAGGCACATCGGACGATCGAAGGACTGAGGCAGACCACTGGCAGTCCTCCGCTGCGCTCAACGCAACCCTTTGAGATGTCAGAGGCCAACCGAGCTGCATTACGGAGTCCAGACTCTCTGCGCAGTCGGCATCATCATCAACCTCGTTCTTCAAGAAGCCTTCACAGTGGCACGGCGACAACGTTTTCGACGAGTTCACCGGTGCAATCGGCCGCCGAAAGTGTTTATTCGTTGAGGTATGGCTCGTCTACATCAATTATCTCAGGGGGATCTCTTCATGGAGGATCCCGGCTACGTAACGAATACCTTCCCAGCCCGGCCGACGAGCCTATCACAGAACTCTTCCCGCACACTCGCAGTCGTTTGAACGATGTGCCGTTTAGACCTCTACCTCGTTTCAACGAGTCAGAGTCGGATCCGGATGCCTTGCGACGGCAGATGCTACATGTGGTATTCGGGTGGGAAGGCGACATCATGGACTTGTTGCAGGATGAAAGTAAGTCTCATAGACCGCGATATGCATATAGTAACGGTGGCTTACCTTGACCTACCAGTACGACGCCATAGCCCCGGAGGCGAACATGCCGTGATTCTTGGTAGATGGCTTGGATACGTTGATTACGATGTCCTTGTGGGAATGGCGACCTCGCCAACGTCACGATATTCTGGCTGGATGCTACTCGCCCTGAGCACATTGAACGGTCAGCACGAGACGAAAAAGATGGGACACGCCTTTGTGCAGATATTACTAGCGAGAAGCGATATCCACGCTGCGGTTGCGTTGTTGATTGGCATGGGTGATGGCAACGACGGTATTGAGGTTTATGTCGCGAGGAATATGTACATGGAGGCCATTCTTTTGACCTGTCTTCTGATGCCCACTGAATGGTCCAGGCAATCATACCTCGTTCGTCGATGGGGCGAGTTTGTCGTCCAGAATTCTCAACAGCACCTGGCAATACGGTGTTTCTCCTGCTCTGACTCCGACAATAATGGGAACTGGGGCTCTCCATCAATGCAAATGACGAACATCCTCTCAAATCAACTCGCGAGCAGGTCCTCGAGTCCACCGCCGATGATTGTCCAACCTTCGGCCCCGGCCAATTCATCAACTAGCTCATCTCGCCCTGCTGCTAAAAATCAGGCATTGAAGCTAATTACATCCTTCGGCCCCGATGCCCCATCCTTTAAATTCCCAGGTCTACAGTCCGCAGATCGCACTCCGACCAACATGCCCGGCATCACTCCTATTGATTCCGCCATGGGAGATTCCATCATGTCGCCCGGCAGCTTTACTTCGTATAAACAGAAGTCCGGTCGATCGAGTCTCTCCGCACGAGCCATTACTCCTGGGGGTCATGGAAATCGCCTTCCGTCCATCGGAGAAACGCCTACCGATGTAAACCCGCCGACCTTGAGCGTACCGAAGTCTTTGCCGACACCCGACCACTCTGGCTCGGAGAAGGAAAAAGAAAGCAATGTTGATACTGCCCAAAATCAGCCTGTACAACAAGAGCCAGTTCTATTCCTATCTTCTGCCCGATATACTCCTCAAAACGAGCCTGCAGAACAAGAACCAAAAACAAGCATTCCGGATGATGGAAATCTCACTGCTAGACCAAGTTCAAAAGCGGATTCTCTGCCGGATATGCTAGTGTCTTCTCGAAATGGCTCGAGGGATCGGAAACCTGAAGGGTTGCACATTAAATGGCCTCCGGTCTATTCACCGAGGGACGTCGAGCCCAGTTCGGGGGGATCTCTTCCCTCCCTCGCGTCCTCGCTACAGCAGCGAGAAACAAGTAGTGCGGCTGGAGCTACCCCGACATGGACTATTGACAGTGCCAGATCTTTTGCCACTGGGAGCGCGAGTGGGAGAAGTGTTAACGAATACATCAGCAGCTTAGACGCGGCATCCTACTACTCGCACAAGGGAGGTGATCAAAGCTCTAAAAGTCATAAAAAGTCTAAGGAATCCCGGGGCAGGAGCAAACAGCGCTATATTCAACCAGCTAAACGATCTCCCTCATCGCCTGTTCCCATGTCACCAGAAGATCTTGCACTATATTCATCCACTGGAAACGAATCGTCCAATAAGAGTGCCCAAGAATCCAAAAGACAGCGCAGCCGGAGCGAGCACTCCCGTCCACGATCATCAAAGGCGAGAGCCCAGTCGCGGCCAAATGATGTTCCCGATCGAAGTCACAACAGGAGCAGACAGGGTGGTAGACGAAGGGATAATAGCTTCGGACTGAGATCGCCTTCCTCGCCAGTTCCGATGTCACCCTCTGAACACGACCATGCAGCTGACAATAGCTTACGTCTCGTGAGCGCAGACCGTCAGCAGCGGATTCAGTCCAGAGAACGAGCTTCAAGTCGTCGAGCAGAACGCGGCACCAGCAGTCGACGTGATCCCTCTCCGGATAGGAGAGCTGGTAGCCGATCTTGTAGTCGACAGCCACGAGAACAAGGGCCCATTTCTACGTCGACCAGTATCAACCAGATACAAAGCCAGGAGAGGAACAATGCCCCTGGATATATGACTGATGGAGCCCCAATATTTGTTGAAAACATTGATTGGAATGGTAGCTCTAAGGGCGAGCACAAACATAGGGATGCGGAGCGTATCAGAAAGGAACAAGCCGCTGCAGAACTGGAGGCCCGACGATTGTCTCTAGCCCGTCGCCCATCGGCTCCCGTCATTCCTTTACCGGGCGAAGTTGGAACGCCCAGCAGCATTGTATCCGGAAGGTCTCGCAGACAGAGCGGTGGCAGCCCTCCAATGACTAACGGTTCCTTCAGTCAGAGAGCAGCCGGTCTGTATAGCGGATCTCCCGCAAATTCAACCTACTCTGATAATTCGACTAGCAGGGCCCCTCCGGTCCCTGTTGGTCTCCCGGCAACTCCTCGTGCAATGAAACATCCCAAATACAGCGCCGGATATCACGATGTTCCTCCGGTGCCTGATATGCCTAGCATTGATAACCTGAGTCCTGTTAATCCTGCTGATCAGGTGCGTTCGATCAACATATCTCGCTCAATGTCGGCACCAATACCAGAGGACACTGGCGATCAGGCCGTTGATGGGATGCCTACACATCCCCACTTCCGGCCCCGGCTTCCCAGCAGCAGAACTGGTAGGATTTCCATGCACAGGAAGGAGGGATCGCACGATGCCTCAATGTTGAATGGTTCGCAGTATGGCAGTTTCTCTGGCCAGGCCAGTAGACAAGCAAGCGAGGCGACCGTGATACCTCCAGTTCTTCCAGAGTTACAGCATCTCTCAAATCCTCCGCCACCACCTCCGCCGCCCCCACCAACGGCACCCTCCCAGCCCATGGATCCTAACAGCTCCTCACAGTCTGAAGAGCGCAACTCCTTCGTTTCTGGCGTCGGCACTATCAACATCGCCATTGACGAACCCGCTGTCCTTGCCCCGACCGAGATAACCCACCAGCGGTCGCAATCAGCTGTACCTCCCACGGAGTACATGCTGCCACCGACAATACATCGTTCGGCCAGCGCACAGGGGTCGATTCAGGACACGCACACCCACCGCCGTGGACGCAGCATTAACGACAATCTTGCAAACAAGTTCCGTAGCTTGACAGGGCGAATGCGAAGTACTAGCAGGGGACGGAATGTGCGAACACCACCCTCCAGCGATCCTGAAACCATGATGCCATACGAAAGTGTGCCGATGGCGAGTGTGATGGAGGGCCATCATGTTAAGAATGAATTTTAGTTTTGAAATGAAAGGAAGGATGGGGGGTTGGAGGTACATTGATTTCAGAGCTATCTATCAGGACGATGAAGATAAAAAATAATGATCAAGGACGAGGTTGTTTTTTATTTTATTTTATTTTATTTTATTTTTTTTTTCCCTTCGATGACCGATGACGCAGAATTTCCTAACCATCCCGGAGTTTTTCTTCCATTTTCTACTCGAACTCTACAGTACTACTTTCGTGGTCATGATTTCTGTCTGCCTTATTATATCTCCCCTTTTCGCTATATCTGATGCTTACCTTCTTTCTTCCTTGAGATAACTATACCCTATTTTACTTTCTACCTGATCATTTAATTGACATAACTCCTAGGCATATTGTGTATTTACCCTTCCGACAGATGTACAGAACATTTTTCTCTTTTTATTTTGATGACGGCCTCCTAATTTACTTCTTAACAGCCCTTGTTCTTTTAATTTTCCAGAGCGACACACCGATAACTCGATGAGAACGTAATGACATGGAGGTCTGACCGTATGCATGCATGTATGTGTTTGTATATATGTACAAGCGGCTCAAAGAAGATAATCCAAATTTCATCCTGATAATACACATGATAAACATAGCCAACTCCTCAATTGGCTCAATGGAAGCGGGCATTTCAAGTTGTAGATAGTAGAGAGTATGTACAATACAAACGTTCATCAGATGAATTTAAAAGCGCCTACCACCGCTTACCCCAGGCGCTTCCGCTGTCTCTTTCCTTGTCAGACCCAAATTCTCTCTCTCTGTCAATCAATTTGTCAAAATCTCTCTGTGCTTGCTCCCTAGAACTTTGCGCGTACTTATCGCCGTAGTCCCGACCGGCGCCATAATCAGAGGATCGCCAATCATCGCCTGACGACGGCTGTTGTGATTGTTGCTGTTGTTGTTGCTCCTGCTGCGGCGGCCGCCTAGCCGCGAAACCACGGTTGTTTGAAGATGATTGGGTAGCGGCTGACTGACGGATACGCTCCCACGCACTTGCGGAAGAGGTCTGAGGTGTGGCGTCAACTTCTGGATTTGTTGGGCTGGCATCATCGTCCCAGAAGCTTTGGCCTTGACTTGGCTGACTTGGACGATAATACTGGGGCTGTTGGCTAGATTGCTGCTGGAATCCGCCGTTTGGCTGGGAATACACCTCGGAGAGGATCTTGGAGTCACCTGGCTGAGAGCCGTATTGGCCAGATGAATTTCCAGATTCGAGGTAGCCGCCGGTATGGCTGGCATCTTCTCCGAATTGGGAGCCCCTCTGTTGCTGTTTCTGAGCCACAAAGGCGCGCCGTCGGGCAGCAGCTTCCTCTCGAAGCTTCTGCAGACGTTTCTGCATCTCTTTCGGATCCTGCTTCTCGAAGTCCTTTTGGAACTGCGACATTCTCTGATCTCTAGCCGTCAGGAGGCCGACGCTCAGCTGGGCGACCGTGTTTGTGACCCAGTACCCGACTGCAAAGCATAGCGGGAGGAAAAACATGACGTGCACCATCCTTGAGGTCCTCATCCTCGCAATGGGTGTTAGTTTGCTCACCACTTCGGCGTCTTTGGGGTCAAAGTTTGTTGGCTTTCCGCCTAGATAGAGACCCAAGCTACCCCCGGCGAGACCCGCGGCTTCGGGGATGTCAAAAAGCATGGATGCCTGTTCTACAATGGCGTCCGTTTCTTCCTGGGAAGGGAACCTGTTCACCATGGCAGAAGCGGTGTCCATCTGAGCGCGGATGATCATGGAGAGCTTCGTCTCGTAGTTGCTCTGCGTCCAATGGAGAAGTCTCCTGCCGAAGGTAAAGGGAGGGAGGGAGATGTTCGTTGGGAATTTCGCGAAGAGGCTGTGGGGTCCTTTCTGCGAGGAGAAGTAGGGATCGGAATCGGACATTGGAGCATCGTCTCCAAACCCGGAGGCGGACTGGGACGGTTGATCGTAGTCGAGCACCATGATTGTGCGGGGAATTGACTGTTTTGCTTCAAGATGAGCTTTAAGTTAGAATACGCGGAAGGCGTTGGTTGGTTCAACGAGGAGCTGCAGTCTCACCAATTGAGTATATAAGTAATGACGCAGAGGTCGACTTTGCGCCGCGAAAGGTGGATTAACAAATAGTTAATGCTGCGGGCGAGATGCAGCTGTTTAAGGTTGGGCGCCGTTTCCCGGCTGGGCGAGCTGCTGAGTAAGACGCAACAGGCAGGTAACTGGCTGACTAACTATGAGATCATTGTCATGTGACCAGCCAGTCGGCGACCACCAAAAACAGAGCACGAAAACAACCGAGCTTTTCGGCCGTCATCGCTGTCGATTCTTTCTCTCGCTCTACGGAGTATACAGGGTATCAAGTAATTGCAGGTCGATGTTTTCAATATCCACCTTTGAAGTCATATTCTCTCTGAAGTATTACTGATGTTTTAGTTATAATTAGTTAGTTAGTTAGTCAGATATGTAAAGTAATCCAGCTTACATAACAGCAGCATTGGTGGTTTAGTGGTAAAATCCGTCGTTGCCATCGACGGGCCCCGGGTTCGATTCCCGGCCGATGCAGAACAGAGTTTCTCCTTTTCTTTTTTTCCAATATTTTTTTACGTTTTAACAAATTCGAGACTCCAACACTAGTCACTGGTTACCCATGGAAAAGAGTTCGGATACCACCAGTGAAGATCAGAGCACAATGTCATCTGATGTACGGAGTACTCCGTACTCACAATGATAAGGAGCGGATGTTGATCAAGGCCAGTGCTAAGACCACATGCAGTTGTCTAGATTGTACGGAGTGGTTGTCTAGCTTTCCGATGTTTTGTTCGACGATCAGTGTTCCTGCTTGCAGATGCCGGAATTTGGGATTCGAACCCCGCCCGGTCGTCTCGATGAAATTTTGGTGCTAGGTATGGAGCCGCGCATAATTAGCTCACGGGCCGGCTCGCTCACACATCGCGTTTGATCACCGTCACCATTTTGCTTTGCTCTCTTCGGTCGAAGGCCAACCTGCAGCTTGTTCTCCGTACATATCGGCATTATCATCAAACTCCATATTTGGTTATTCCCATTCCAAAGAAGCTGGGCAGCAATGGCGTGTTTGAAAGCTGCAAGCAGCATAGTGAGCTAGGATGGATGTGCGGTTTTCTCCAATGTTGAAAAACTCTGTCTCATCTTTTGATGCTAGCAGCGATTTGGGATCGACCTCAAGAGTTCGAGACTGAGCTTGTTGGAAAATCCCGTACTGTCCCGTCCCTAAACGCCAGTCTGTGAAGCAGCGGCATGCTGGAAGATCCTTTGTCTTGCTCTTCCGTCAATATGACGTCTCACCTTCAGCTTAGTTGCCCAGCCATTTTCTGTGCATCAGCGCCCAGCAGCTCTTCCTCTCTACCCCTCTTTCGTCCTTGAAGAATTAAAAAGGGTTACTTTTCCGGGTATGCTTTTACCATCACTCATCGATCAGAAGCCCTCAGTATTATGGCGCCAAACAAAAAGGGAAAAAGGTTAGACAAACGCTGTGATTCCCCCTTACCGCTCTCTTCAGTTGAGTCTCAAGCTAGTCCTGGCTCACACTCCACCCAGACGTGAGAGCTGACAGCCCCAATCTTTATGAAGCAGTCTATCTAATACCTGGTTAAAAAGCTTGGCACAGCCCACTACTTCTCGCTGCGATATGGATACTAATGAAGGTATACATGCGTTGTTCACTAGCCTCAAACGGTATGGGTATGGTTTGAATAGTTAGTTCACTCCACAGACTGATTCTCGCAGATACTTGGCTTCAGGCCAATTCGCAGACCTTACCATTCGAGTAGCCGACGAGGAATTCAAGGTTCATAAAGTAGTTGTCTGTGGGCAATCCGAGTTTTTTTCTCGCATGTTCAGCAGTGATTGGAAGGTATGTAAAATCAAAGTGTAGGGTATATGAGAAACGCCCTAACTTTTGTTGCTAGGAAAACGTCAATAATGAAGTTAAATTGGGGGAGGTTGACCCTAGTGCTGTTGAGGCAATGATCCATTTTATGTATGGCATTGACTATGACAGCAGCGGCAGTGGCCGCGGTCGCGTGTCTCCTGTATTCTTCAATACCCAGGTCTACGCGCTTGCAGAGGAGTATGAGGTTCAGAAGTTGAAACAGCTAGCCAAAGAGAAGTTCGCAACTTCAGTCCGTGCCTGTTGGGATATGGATGATTTTCCTCCAGTGATTGTGGAAGTCTACAACACCACACCTTCCGCAGATCGAGGCCTTCGAGATGTAATAGTCAACACTTGCGTTGAGCATATTGAGCCCCTCTTACTCAAGGAGGCCTTTCTAGACGTGCTGGAAAGCTGCAACCACTTTGCGGCAGACATCGCGAGACAGCTAGCGTTAAAACCGGGAAAGCCGTCAAACTACCGATGTTCACAGTGCGGCTACGCGTGAGAAGGGAAGCTTTCTTCTTAGACGAATTACTATTGCATGCATTGCGGGTCCGGCCGCTCCAATTGGCATGACTTTGTTGTGAAATAAGCGGGGAGTATCGGTCTTTAAAATTGTGACCTTGTCTTGGGTGATAATGGGTGGAGTAGCAGCTTTTGAATTATCTTAAACCGACTGCTTGGATAAAGTTAGCAACTGCTGAGCAATCAGTTTTATTCAAGCGGAGTTTTGGCTGAATTATTCCATGATTCCATAGGTATTGAGTTCCTGAGCTCAGCGAGGATACTGATACTCTCTTGTTCTTAGGACTGGACAGAAGATTTGGGTCGATGTACGGAGTACGGAGAAGTATTTGAGCAACATCTCCAAGCCACAGCCAGAATTTATAAGCCAGAGTCCATTGATAGACTGATGATTCGTCATTAGCGATTCGGAGCTTTCTTATCTTTATCGCCTATTGGATCGCTCTCACTATAAATGCAAAAATGAAGGTTACAGCTGTGCTACGCAAGGCGTAAGCCTCATTGAATGTTGACATCAAGACATCCCGATCGCCACGGCTTGTGCAACCTTGCGGTTTTCACTCTTACAACTCCAGGACCAGCACGCTAAGCCCTCTCGCAGTGAATGGGAAGGTTATAAATATTATTGATAATCTAATCACTGCCTTCCTGGCCCCAGAGACCTGTTGCCCTCTGGTGCCATATATATCTTCTTTATTCAGGATCACTACTCACGACGCAAGAAACAGGATGGATTTCTTATCTGACTCTGTACGCATAGTTTTGTAAACTTGATGACCTGTTGCTGATGTCTCTGTAGGAGGATGGACAGCGAACAAGTGTTGCCGAATCCCCCAATATGGTTACCCCTTCTAGCTGTAAAAGCTCTGGGGATAACCCGACTCTAACGAATGCCTCCTTGGAGGCTCTGCAAACCAGTGAGCATCGAGAACTGATGGATCTGGTCGACCGACTTCGTCGTGCGGGGTTGAATTCAGTGTTGCAACTGCCCCAGATTGTTGTTTGTGGGGACCAGTCCTCTGGCAAAAGCTCTGTCCTGGAAGCGATCACAGAGATTCCATTTCCCCGCAAAGAAAATTTATGCACTCGCTTTGCTACAGAGATCATCATGCGCCGGGATGCAGAATCCTCCATAATTTGCAAAATCAATCCCGACGGCGGCCGTAGCGAGAGCGAGCAGATTAAGCTTCGCAAATTTTCGAGAAATATCAAAGATTTTAGCGAGCTGCCTTCCCTTATAGACGATGCTACTGCAGAAATGGGTCTCAATGAACATAGAGCATTTGCAAAAGATGTTCTAAGCATTGAAATCTGTGGACCAAACCGGCCTCAGTTGTAAGTTTCCGCCATTAGCCACATTTTAGATTCGAGCTGACGCCAGGCACAGGACACTGGTCGACCTCCCCGGCCTCATACATTCGGCCAACAAGTCACAATCTGAGGGGGACGTCGAGCTTATCAAATCTTTGGTTGAGGATTATATTTCCCAGAAGCGGACTATAATTCTTGCTGTAATCTCGGCTAAGAATGACTATGCGAATCAAGTGATTCTTAAGATCTGTCGAAGGTTTGATCCAAAGGGGGCTCGCACTCTCGGTGTTATCACTAAGCCTGATTTTCTGCTACCTGGCTCTGAAAATGAGCGGGTATGGCTTGATCTAGCGCAAAATCGGGATATATACTTTGAACTCGGCTGGCACTTGGTAAAGAACCGTGGTGACAATGAGCACCATCTGTCCTTTGCGGAACGGAACGTTAATGAGAATATATTCCTCAATAGTGGAAGATTCAAGGACCTGCCACAAGGCATGAAAGGCGTTGACTCTCTCCTCAAGCGTTCAAGCAACCTTCTCTTTCATCATCTAAAGCGAGAGCTTCCGGTACTCAAGGAGGAACTGGACCTCATGACAGAAGATGTTCACATGGAAATTCAGTCTCTTGGTAAAAGCCGCCGAACATTGATGGAGCAACGATCGTTCTTGGCCGATTTCTTCCACGCAGCGTACGACATAATCAAGATGGGTATAAATGGAAACTATGAGGACAAATTCTTTGGAAAGGTTGATATCGATGCGCCAATCGATTGCGAAAAAAACCCACGACGACTCAGAGCGGTGGTTCAATATCTCAATATCCAGTTTGCAGAGCGAATGAACAAACATGGACACAAATATCACATTGAAACTTCGGTTGAGCGTGACAGTGGAGGAAGAGAATCGGATTGCAATTCCGACAACTCGGAGCGGGGTGCAGAATGCCTGCCGCCAGAGCACACCGGGCCTCTCAAATTAAGTCGGGAACAGGCGATCGAACGCGTGGTTCGGATGCTTGAGAGAAGCCGTGGCCGTGAAATTCCCGGGACATTTAACCCCATGCTAATAAGCCATTTGTTTTGGGAACAGTCAGAGAGCTGGATCCCAATAGCACGTGACCATATCGAGAGAGTCATTTCGACCTGCAAGATCTTCTTGCGCCATGTTATGGAATACATTGCTTCCCAGGAAATCAAACACCGACTGCTCGAATTGACTGTCTTCCCTGTCTTAAAGAAGGCTCGCGAGGGGGCTTTCGGTGAACTCAGCAAGATTGAAGAAGATAAGTTGCGGCATCCAATCACATACAATCATTATTTCACAGACACTTTACAGAAAGCACAGTATGAACTTTTCTCGGCTGGGATTAAAGAAATTAGTCAAAAAGCCACTGTGGAGATTGACGAGAAGACGTGGAGCGGTGGGCGGGGATATGAAAAGAGGAGCTACGTCGAACCTGGGCTCTTTCGTGGAATGCTTAACCAACTACTCGAACGTGACATGGACAGATTTTCTGCTGAGCAGGCGGTCAATGCGAACGATGCATATTATAAGGTATGTTAAACCCTAATGTCTGCTGTTTCCTCTGAGAAGCTTAACTAACATTACATCAGGCGGAACGAAAGTATTTCATTGATGTGGTCGCCAAGCAAGTCATCGAGCGTCATCTGATTGCTCCCCTGGCCAGTATTTTCTCGCCAAAAGTTTTGGCCTGCTACAGTGACAAACAGGTCCATTTTCTTGCATCTGAATCACCCAAAGTGGTTGAATTGCGAGAACATTTGGAAAACAAAAACAAGATGTTGGAAGGAGGTCAAGAAGCATTTCGCATGGCGATGGGACAAAAGTATGATGATTAGTTAATATGCAAGATCAGAGCGGTCGTTTGTCTCTTCGACTACCCTTTGGCTGGTAGAAGCAGGAAGACTTGAGGATTCTGTATTCTCAAGATAATGCAGCAAAACTAATGAGCGTTTGTGTCAACTTAAATTCCAGAATACGGATCCATGCTTTGCTCTGAGAGACCCAAAATTAGACAAAGACAATGGAAGATAGTGTAGAGAGCTTAACGCCAATTTGAAGGCAAAATTAGACCCGTGAAGTTCAGTTTTAATTTCAAGCAGGTGATTTGTGAATCCTTGAGAAAGAAGAACTCAAGATGAAGTGATTCAATTGCAAGCTATAACATCTCGTCCTTAGAAAGCAGGTGACATGGATGCCATGAATGAATGCGGGAAGAATCGAATGGGGCCTTGATATTGGATATAGTTGGGATATTTCACCGACCACGGGTACTATATGTGAAGATAGGCCTTCAGGACTAATGATTAGTACAGCCTGCAATGGTGGTCCATTGGATACAAATGGTAACCTGAATGGAACTGTGAAATGCGCAGAAAATTGAACTTAAATTATGGAGAAGATTTTGGCCATAAATATCCAAGTTTCTATAAAAGAAATCGGAAAGCATGAATAACTAAAGTAAAGATCCACCCCTCATCAATGGCAGCGGAGTGGTATCACAATGATGGCTGTTGGTCTCATGTAGAAACCTTCTTCACTAGTTTATTACCAATATGCTCCAGAGATTTCTCAAAGCCGGCAAAGTTCTTTGCCTTCCAATTTGCTCCCTTAGCGCCAGGCTTGGCCGCGTTTCCTTTAAATGCGATATAGAGGACGTCGTGCTTCTCGTGGCCATTGTCTCCATTAAGACCCTCCTTAGGGAAGCAAGCTTGCGCAAGAGATACTGAAGTCTCTCCAACCAGAGTACCACCGTTGGTATCACCCCAAACGCCATAGAACTAACACATAGCACGTTAGTCAGGGGGTTTTCCTCTGGATAAGTAATCGGGGATGCAAAACTTACCAGTCTATTATTACAAACCACAGCCACCACGCTCAACGGCTTAATGCCGTACTCTGCCGGATTGAAGCTTGGTGAAGATCCCTCATTTCCGAGAACGACGTATCCATGTTTATTTGAATCGAGATCAGGAATACCATATTTCTTTACTTCATCCTTGAATGCAGTTTGATCCTGTCCCGAGGGATCGTTTTTGCAATCACCGGCAGATCTATTGGCGCCGTCACAGTCCACATCCATGTCTGCAAGACCCCTTGAATTCGAGGGCCCTGTGATATATATTATTCCCTGCGAGTCTAAGCGATCGCCGCAGTAGACGAAGCCCTCTATTTTCAAATAAGTGCGTTAGCTTGCTGCGTCTGGCAAGGGGTAGGGGACGGAAGATCGGGTGCACATACTCCTTCCGTGGCCGTCCTGGAATGAACTGCTTAAAGGCTTGCGGCATCGGTGGTTCTTTGTTTTTTTTGGAAAAACCAATACATCAGTATGGGGAACAGATACAATTGAAGAGAAATATTCATACCTTGGCATAATTATACAGATCCTTCACGTTTGAAGGTACCTTCCGACCAAGGGCCATGCATTCAGCGCTCAAAAGCGCGGCAAGGAGAAGGGACTTGATAAGCATCTTGACCTGTAAGAGTGACTTTTAAACTCGTAGATGTTTTTGGGTCTATCAACGAAGAAAGACCGGATGTCTGGCGACGCTTTATATACCTACGTAGAGGTAGAATTCCTTTCCGATTTTAAGACCGAAGGCGGTTATCAGCGCCGAGATCACCCGTTCGTGACACCACACTTTCCAAAATCCAGAATGCGATCAAAAAGGGATCACCAATACAATTCAGGCCCGCCATGTACAGGGGTGTCCTCCATACAGCTTGGGGGTTAGCCTAAAGGCGAAAGCGGTGTTGAAACAAAAACGGCGCCATTTGAATCCTACGGGCCAGCGACCCTGCAGTTTTGGTCTTCACATAGTAATATGCATCAACAAGCTGGCTTTCGGCTCGATGGCGAATCGTAAGCAATCCGAAACGACTCTGGTTTCTTAGAGAAGGGCTGTAAACAGGTACTCCTTCAAGGAGCAGAGCACCCGCACGAGCGATTACTTGAAAGCCCTAGGGAGTAGGAGTATAACCGGAGAAGCTAATGGGCATCTCAAATGTCCAGGCCATTCCAAAGGACGGGCCGCACGCAACGAGCCCATGATTGATTGGCAGCTCCAAAAGGGGGCGGTAACTTTATTCAGGTGAAACGGGCCGTGGGGCGCGATGGTCCCAAGGTTCGCAGAGTGCAGAATTCTATGTATCTTGGTGGTCATGCAGCATCAATCCTTCATGTAACAATTTGAGGAGGACAATGATCAGACCATTCCATGAGGTTGATTGCACGATAACAACGGCCTTGCAAGTTTGTGCATGGGAAGCCTGGCTCGTGGTCAGAATAAGCTCGCGGGACTCGGATTATTGTTTTCCCATACTTAAACTGATGGAGGACTTGTATGCTTGTCATTCGCTAAGCTACCTAAAGGGGAATCTCGGCTAATCTATGTGGGTCACGTGAGCGAGGTGCTAGTTGGATTACCTAACACCCCCCCATGCAACAAGCTCCAGCAGTAAGTGAGAGCCACAAAGATCCAAAGCTTCCAAATCTCTCAAATCCACAATAAAAATTAATTACAAAATCCAGATTTATTCCTTCTTTAGGCTTAGCTCCATTCACCATGATATGGTATTTTTGCCAGCTTCACTGATAAATCTTCATATTTTCTTGTATTAACCCATCACCCCTATCACACTCACAAATTGAGTGTAGGGATCCATTGCAAGAGTTTTTGTGAGCCTGTCAGCTTTATTTGCATTGCTTCCAACATGCTTAATCAAGATTTCATTCTTTTGCATCCAGTCTCTTAGCATATGATGCTGAATCTTAATATGGTGTGCTCTTTATGTTATAGCTTCAGCTTTAGCTAAGTCAACAGCTTCCTTGTTGTCAACACTTAATTTTGAGCTTCTTAGTCTTGCTGAGCCTTCACTAATTATTCTGGTGTCTATCAACAGGTTGTTGATCCAAACCAGTTCACAAGCAGCTTCACTAGCTGTCAAATACTCCACTTCAGTCATAGATTTTGAGACAGACATCTGGTACTGTGATCTTCATGAGATTGGAGCTCTGTTCATGGTAATAATATAGCCACTGGTGGATTTGTACACAGGGTCAGCTCCAGTCCAGTCAGAATTCAAACTGGCTGCCAGTTTCAAGTCTTCAGAATCCATATTTCTTTTGAAGACTATTTCTTTCAATTTTATGCTCTTGAGATAGTATAGAATCTGCTTGAACACCATCCAGCTCTCTCTATTGGATCTGCTGTTAAATCTCACCAGATAATTGACTGCAAATGCAATATCCAGTCTCATACACATAACTAGAAACTGTACAGAGCCCAGGCCTTTCCTGTAATTTATAGATGTAGCCTGCTCATCAACTTTATTTTTGAGGGTCTGATCTGGCACAAATTTAATGCTTATTTCTTTCTTCATTGGTACTTTGAAAGGTTTGCAGTCTTCCATTCCATATTTAATTAGTAGATTCTTAATATACTGTTCCTGGTTCACAAAAAGATCTTCATTTGGCTGCTTTTGAACCCACATGTCTAGATAATAGCTCTGTTTTATAATCTTCTTGATCTTGAAGCATTTCTGAAGCTTCTCAATGAGCTATTCTGTTTCAGCTTCATTGGATCTCATTATACAGCAGTTATTAACATGTAGAGTTAGGTAGATTTGCTTCCTCTTGTGGTAGAGTAGGCCTGTGTTGTATGAAGAGATCTGGAATTCTAGAGATTTCAGATAGTCAGTAGCTGCTTGATACCAGAGTCTAGCAGCTTGCTTCAATCTGTAGAGTCTCTGGCATAAGAGTTCTACTAGATTACTCCACCTGTACTTGAATCCAGTAAGTAGTTAAATGTATACACATTTGTTCTCTAGAAGAGTGCCATTTAGAAAGACTGTCACAAAGTCAAAGACTCTGATCTTCCAGTTCTTGACTGTTGAGATAGCAAAGAAGGCTCTTATTATAGGTCCACTGACAACTGCTGCATAAGTCTTCTTGTAGTGAACACCTTCTTGCTGTTCAAATCTGTATACAATCCAACAGACTTTGAATTGTACTGTGCCACCTGTATTGTTGAGCTTCCTATTAAATACTTATTTGCTAGAGAGAATCTACATTTCAGATTCCTTCTCAACTAGAATCCAGATACCTTTCTCTTGTAGTTTGGAGACTTCAATATTTAGAGCCTTCTTCTAATAAAGCCACTCTTCAGAGTGTTTAGCTTCAGCAATGAATTTTGATATATCTGTACACATGCTGAGCACTGGAAGCTCAGCTCCATTCACCTCTTCTTCTTTCATCACATTCAAGAGAATTTCTTGCTCTTCACCCAGGTATGTGAGCTTTAAAGTCTCTAATTCACCATCTGTAAGCTTCTTTATGATTTCTGGCTTCTTCTTTGCAAGATAAGCTAGTAACTTGTGTTGCCAGCTGTTCAATGGATCTATGTAATTATACTTCTCTGGAAGTTCAACATATTTGGCTTCAGTTAGTGAATTTATAGGGATTTGATCCAATTTCTCATTAAATATAACATCTTGTGAGATCATTATACTGTTTGTTTCTGGGTCCCAAAGCCTGTAGGTGTGCATGCCATAATATTCTATAAATTTGATCTTCTTGAACCTAGATTGGAGCTTTGAGAATTTATTTAAAATCTTCACAGAGGCATCACATTCCCATCTATAAACTCATCTGTAATAGGGTTGGTGATCTGTCCAGACTTTAAAGAGTGTCAATAGCTTTATGTTCTTGCATCTGTATAGAGGCACTGAGATAGACAATAGTTTCACCATCATGGAGACTGTGGTGAGAGCTTTGCCCCATAACTTATTAGAAAGTCCTGAGTCTATAAGTATGCTTCTTGTGTACTCACAAAGAAGT